AAAGATGACTAAGTTCAACTCTTATTTGCACTACTTGAATGTATTTTAGAATGACTAATATTCTAGTCAAGTCTAGTAGAATTTATTATTGTAGTATTCAGTCGTAACCATAGCTTCCATTGAAATAAGTGAAATCTCCATAAAAACACTTTTTACAAAAGTAAAAGGTTGCATAAATCCTTTTTTAACTTCCTTGCCATTTTTATCGCTAAAACCTTGCTACTTCGTCCACAGTTATTTTAATTTATAAAAATGATACGAGCGCTATATATTACTTGCTCATACACGTACATACAGATTTTTGTATCCTATACTAAAAATTATCCATTTTTCACATATTACTCTGTTTAGATCTTAACTCAATAATAGAATTTTCTTATTCGTCTTTAAACTTTTGAAAGTACTGAAATCAATATAAATAAAGCACGGATGCCATTTATAAGTGTAACATCTTAAGGACCAAAAGAATCGATAAAATACTAAAAACTCGATGATTTTATATGTCTAGTTTTCTATGTCTAAACATCATTGTTAACAATGACTGAAACATGTTCAGTATCTATCTTTAAATAATGAATCATTTTTATGTATTTAAATTGATGTATTAGATACACTACGTCTCGATCAACCTTATTTTTTTATGGGATCGTTTTTAAATTTTTGAAAGAAATGAAATCTATTTGAAAATGGCACGGATGCTATTGATTCATTTCAGCTGCTACATAACAAATAGTCACGCATTATTTATACGTTGAAATTTTCAATAACTTATATAAATTTTTGGCAATTTTTATTCTTGCCGGGCCAGTCCGCCAATAATATCAGGTACAAGCATGGACAATAAAATATTATAAAATGAATTACTCTTAGCCGTGTACTGAAAATGAATAATATCTAACGTTAAAAAATTATTACCAAGAACTTTACGTTTCTACCTGGTATAAAAAAATTATTTTTCACTGTGTATCAAAAAAAATATTTCGATATAAATTTAAAAATTGTAAAAGTGACTTTAGTATTTGCTGAACCACGCAATAATTAATATAACACTTTTGTATACTTTTCAGTTGAGTAGTAAAAATCATCTGAGTATTTCATTAAACACTTACAAATACAAATTAATTATAGGTTTACCAAAGACAATATTGATAAAAATATTAAATAATGATAGTAAGGGTGCGTATAATGAAAAGTTAACTGTAAATTAATCATTTCTTTTTAACTCAGGCGACAGGCCCGGCAAGAATAAAAGTTGCCAAAAATTTATATAAGTTATTGAAAATTTCAACGTATAAATAATGCGTGACTATTTGTTATGTAGCAGCTGAAATGAATCAATAGTATCCGTGCCATTTTCAAATAGATTTCATTTCTTTCAAAAATTTAAAAACGATCCCAATAAAAAAATAAGGTTGATCGAGACGTAGTGTATCTAATATCCCTGTTGAAAAAATCCAGCTGGAAATCCAGGCTGGATTTCCAACTGGATTTCCATCTGGAAATCCTGCTGGATCCACCTGGATTCCAGCTAGATTCCAGGTGGATATCCATGCTGGATTTCCAGGTGGATTTCCAGGTGAATTCCAGGTGGATATCCACGCTGGATTCCATGTGGTTATCCAATCTGGATTTCCAGGTGGATTTCCAAGTGGATATCTATGCTGGATTTCCATGTGGATATCCATGCCGGATTTCAAGGTGGATTATCAGCTGGTATTCCAGGTGGATATCTATGCTGGACTTCAGCTGGATTCCAGGTGGATATCCATGCTGGATTTCCAGGTGGATATCTATGCTGGATTTACAGGTGGATTCCAAGTGTATCCATGCTGGATTTCCATGAGGATTTGCAGGTGGATTTCCAGGTGGATTTCCAGAATGAAATGTGGGTGGATTCGAAATCGATTTCCAGGTTAAAATTTGCGTGGATTCCAAATGGATTTCCAGGTGAATTTCCAGAATGAAATGTGGGTGGATTCGAAATCGATTTCCAGGTTAAAATTTGCGTGGATTCCAAAAGGATTTCCAGGTGAATTTCCAGAATGAAATGTGGGTGGATTCGAAATCGATTTCCAGGTTAAAATTTGCGTGGATTCCAAATGGATTTCCAGGTGAATTTCGAGGTGGAAATCTGGGTGGATTCCAAATTCAGTTTCAGGTAGATTTCCAGGTGGATTTCCAGGTTGAAATCTGGCTGGATTCCAAATGGATATCCAGATTAAAATCTGGGTGGATTCAAAATGGAATTTCAGTTGGAAATCTGGGTGGAATTCAAATGGATTTTCAGGTTGAAATTTTGGTAGATTCCCAGTGGATTTCCAAATTGATTTCTAGGATTTCTAGGTAGATTAACGGATATAAATAAACGATATTACTAAAAGTGATTTATTTATAAATATATTAAATTAACAAGCAGTTTCGCCTTTTTTTTTCATTTTTTTCAATATGACATTTATATCTTCCGTTATATAACTATTTTTTTTGATAAGGCTTTGTTCAGTAATTGCTTATTATCTATTTTTAAAGTCTTCTGACAAAAATATGATAAACATTCTGCAAGAAAATGAAACTCAAGTGTAAAAATGTACTATAAATTTTAATAATTATAAAATTCAAACATTAATTTTCTAACTTGTTATTGTTAAATGTTCCATATTGGTCAGCGGAATCCTTCGATTCTTCCCGTTCGGCGTGTAAGAGGGTGGTTCCGCCTTAACGCATCGCTTACTGAGCGCCTCTTCAAAGAAACCGTCTTCATTTCTGTGCATCGCTCTTAAAATTTGTTTCGTAAATTTACTTACGTCTTTTAACTTTAACATATTTTTCCAATCTTCGTACATAATTTTGAAATCTCTATTCAACCAAATGTAACTTATCTAAAATTATTTATATGTATTTTGTAAATATTTATTTATAAGAGTAAAATGAACGATAAGATCAAATTATATTATACTTACTGTGACACCTTCTTTAGAAACAGTTTCTTTCTTTCCAAAATTATAAAAATAATTTGTTTCGTCCGATGCTTCTTTTGAATCAAAACTCTGATCTTCAAGACTCATTCCAGAACACCCATCATCTTCTAAACCAACATTTTTATTTTTTGCTTTTTTGAAGAGATTGTGTGATATGATTTTGAATTCTTGGTTAAATAATCGGACTCCTGGAGCAGCATGATCGTCTATGCCAGAGTCACAAGTCAGATCATCATCAGAAGCTTCATTAAATCTTTTTTTATTTGCTTTTGTTATCAACGATGGTGACCGCTCTTTTTCACAGTCTGTAAAAAGCTTTCCTGAAAGATTTTATTACAAAATGTCAGTATCGGTACCAGTTTGTGACAATAGTATATTATGCAACGGGTGCCAGAATGCTTATCTCATGAAACGAGAGGTTTACGCCACGAGCCGAAGGCGAGTGCTGTAACTCGTTTCGTAAAAAAGCATTTTTGCACCACTTACATACGATATTTTATGCCACGAGTACCCGAAAATAAGCGACGAAGTTGCGATTTTTAGGTTAGAGTGGCGTAAAATATGTAATAATATGTTTTTATTAACTTTTTAATCCTGAAGAATTTGATTTCTTGTTTTCCTCGATTTCCTCACATTCTACATTCCAAATATCTTGAGATTCTTGAAATATTTCCGGTGATTCATTATCGACCGTTGGTAGGTGTGACCAGTCGGCAAATTTCTTTGGAGTTGATGTAGTACAGACAGTATTCATGTCAATCTTAAAGAAAAATCATATATATATGATAATTTTTACAAAAAGTAAATTATACTATGAATAATCAAACAATTATACTATAAATAATAAAAACATAATAACAAAGGAATTATCAACTACTATATACATTTTAAATCAAGGATCGCGGTCGAGAGCCGCAGACGAGTAGGGTCATTTTCAACCTAACATTTACTTTTTTCCCTACGCAAGGAAGATTTTCGGGAAGATTTTTTGAAAAACACTCTGGGGTTATAGCCCATACAGCATGAAATATTGCAATGAAATATTCACTGAAATATTTCAAAAAAATCTTGCAGGAAATTTGTAAAAATATTAAAGAAATAAATCAGGAAGATTTCATCAAAATGTTCCTAGTAAAATTTAGAAAATGTTGTTACAATATTTCACATCCCGCCCGCTATTTTGAAATTCCGCGCACCTGCAAGAGTCTGCGCAGTCGCGCATAACCTCCCTGTTGACACTGTAGCTCTTATAAATGAATTGAGAATGACAGATTGGTATAATCACAAAAAACAAGGTGGTAAAATTAAGATGATCAGTTCACGGGTGAGGTACAGTGGTCGTCTTTTTTTTTTTTTTTTATGCAGCTGCAAAATGTAAAATCGCCGGAGAAAATGCACACGCAAAAGGCTTGGCATTGGCTTTTTCATCGAATTTCAAGGTTTAGAATTGAAAAGTTATTAGTTTTATCAAAATAAGCATTTTCCACGAAGGGTACAATTTACTTTTGGCTGGATTTTCAATTGAAAATATATTAAACTAGGTATTTAATGTTTTATTTTTCAAAGTGTTCCCTCTCTTGAAAGCTCTCTGCGTCTGCGCATAGTCCATTTCCGCACGACTTACTGGCAGTTATGCTGTAGTTTCTTAGATTGTTGATTATTTCTTTTAGAAAAAACATTTCACAATTCTACTGATGATACAATTTATTTTACTGAAGGTAAAATTTTTCTGTATACTTATTTATGTTTGATTTTATTTCCCGACTTAAGGAATCAATGGCGAATAATCAAGATCGATAATTTTCGTTTGTTATAAAAAATATGATGGTACAATTAAAGTTAATGATTTTTTAGGAAAGCACAATTAAAAATACGTCAAATATAATCATTTTTTTTTAACTTTTTTAATTTTTGTCGGGCTGTCTTCTTGTCGGTTGAAAGTATTGGTATGGATCATGGAGACTGTATACGTCTCCCTGGTATGGATGCATTAGATCAAGAACAACAGACTTCTAGTATGGTTGATGTCTTGATGAAGTATTTTTCATTATGGAAAAATGCATCAGAAAATCAATATCAAGTCATCAATATCAAGCATTGATGGCACATGTATGTGCTGTTATAAACATGTCATGTGGTTTGCTTGAAGAAAAATTTTGTGGACAGTTGCGCAATACATTTAGACACGGCTATTCTGCAGGCTATTTAGATTTAGCCCAAGCTTACAATGTTTTGCCGACAAGTATTCAGCAAGGATCTATTCATACGTCAGATACAGAACTTGCAAGATTAATGTTTCTGGTAATTATAATGAAAGTCTGAGCATTTAGTAGCTTTATAGCTTAAATCTGTGTGTTCTCTATCTTTTGTTATCTACTATTGTAGTATTTTTTAGCTTTGGCTGGCCAGATTTTAAATAGATAATTAAGTTATTTAGGAACTTGATTATATTTTACAGGCATACTTGAATAATGCAGAAATAATTAGTATAGAAACTCAGAAGTGTAGTTTAACATCAATGAATACTTTTACTGATAGATGAACATGATCATTTGCTTTGACAATTCTAGTTGGAATAATAAGTTTTTAAAAATAGCCTAACAGAACCAAATTACTTTACACTGGTAGGCATAATGACAGTATACGTAACTGCTTGTTTGGAAAAATTAGTCTTGAAATCTACGTTTAATAGGGTATGTTGGAGATTAAAGTAAAATTAAAATTAATGTTCAAGTTGAATTAATATTGTTGTAATTATTTTCATTGAAATTTGTGTTATTTCTATAGGCTGGTGAGCTCATCATATTTGATAAAGAAGTTTGATCTTTTGCAAGTTATTTGGCTACAATGACTTTGTGATTTATTAGAGACAAATTTGCCAGGCTTACGTAAACACCACAATTGTGGGTATCGAAAAAATGAAAGAACTTGCTGATTATTGTGGTGCAGATGCTATAGCAAGGTGTTTAACGCCAACTGAAGTGAGAAAGATTTTAGCTTTAAGGATAGATATTAAAAGATTCAAAATTTAATAGTATCATAATAACCAAGGCAAATTGTTGGATTTTGTATTTAGTGCTGTTTACAGTTTCACTGTAATAAACTAACAAAAGACTCGAAACAAGCTTATAAAAACAATATTAATAAAGTTTCATGACCTACATGTTTCTTTCTTCTGTAAAATAGTTACTTTAGGCAACAGAGAAATATAACAACAAATTAATTTAAAAATATTTTATAAAGTAAAAAAGGAACAATATAGTCTTGTCTGAATCTGAAATAACGCATTATTAAAAATCATAACTATAAAGTTATAAATATATTTTGTAAATGTTATAGCCAAACAAAAAACATTTAATCATTGAAAAATAATTATTGCTTTTTAAAATACGAAAAGTATTTTTACACTATATTTGTTAAAGGTTTAAGTTCTTTTGTTAGTACATATGATTTTTATAAATAATAAATCACCTTAAACATTTTATATACATCTGGCGTTCATTATTAAAATAAAAAAACAGTTTAAATGAATTATATCAATATGACATCTCAGTACCTGTACTGCTGGATCCAGCTTTTGTTCATATACTTCATTTTCAATTGTTTCTTTGTCATTCCCTAGTTCTTTCAACCTCTGTTCATAGCAATAATTTTTTATTTGTAATCTCTCATTTAATATTGTATATGTCTCCAAGCGTGCGTTCAATATATCTATATTGTTCTTTAATTTAGTCTGTTCGTTTTTCAACATTAAACATTCCTTTTCTAAATTTTTAATTTTTAGTTCTAGTAAATTACGTTCTTCTAAGTCCATTTTTGTCTGTGTCTTGCAATGGATCAATGAACTATTAGCGTTGCCTACATAGCAATTCTCAGTTACTTTTTGGCCCATGTCAAGAGTATTTGCTGTGCATATAAATTTTTCAAATTTTTGGTCGAGTATTTTTTTTTGGGCATCATTTTCATGCTTCTGTGAAATAAAATTGTAAATAAAAATAAATTATATATTATAAATTATTTCTAGCTATTTAAACATAGTAAATGGTGACAAATATTTTAACATACCAAACTAATCAATTTCTTATCTGCATCTGATCTACTAATAGGTTTAATCATTTTTTTATTTTTTGATGTTGGTTCTACATCCACATAAACATTATCTTGAGAGTAGTAGCGTTCCAAAATAGAATTATGTAAAACACTGAAGATGCCCCTTTTTTCAGCAAATTCATTGAACTCTTCATCACTTCTAATCACTGAAAATGAAAATTATTTTGATTGTAATTTCAAATTTATAATAAATTATTTAAAAAAAAAAGTTACTCACTTTTTACAGATGCTATTTGAATAGCAAGTTCTTAATGAATGACTGGACTAAGACTAAAAATGTTGATAAAACCGTCTCTTATGTTAAATAATTATTTTCAGTATCTTATTGTTTGTTTTGCTGCTTATTATTTTTATATTAAAATTTTTTTTAATTGGTAGAACAGTTAGTTATTGAAGATAATAATCTTGCATAAAAGACCAGTTATACAAAAATTTTCAATACAAAAAACGTATGAAATCCATCTGGATTTGTCGAAAAAGATGCACACGGAAATAAACCGGTAATTCGTCTCGAACGCATTTATGGAACAAACGATAATATCCACCTGGATTCCATATAGAAATCCATAAAAATCCACTTGGATTCCAGCCGTATCAACGTGGATATCCAGCTGGATTTCTACGTGGAACCTATGCCTATACAATTAAAAAATTAAATTTCAAATGAGAATGAACTAAACGAGATTTCGTGGAATTTTCAATCTTCTAATTGATAAATAATGTTAGTTAATTTATTTTTCTTAGGAACATCCGTCATCACAATATAATGAAAATTTTTTTGAGGAAAGTAGTGACGAAGAAAATTTCCATGATTTATCAATTGACGAAAATGAAGTCTTTGAAAACAGATTCGAAAAATTACATGAAATTATGAACAGTGACGACTACAACGAACCTGATCCAAAAGTACAGATAAATGTCAGTAGAATAGAAATGATATTGGCTGTTTTAAAATATTGTACAAAATATCACATTCCAACAATAGCAATCATAGATATGTTCAAAATGCTCAATATGTTTTTTAATAAAGAGATGTTTCCAGCAAATCGCTATCAATTTGATAAACTATTTAATCCAGAAGGAGATCAGGAGTATCACTCTATATGTCCGGTTTGTAAATCTTACATCGGAATCTTTGCTAAAAGACAGAAAATGATACTTTGTGAAGCATGTGAAAATGAGGTAAACTTGAAAGATCCTTCTTATAGCGATTATTTTACCATGTTCAATATAGTAGGCGAAATACAAAGATTGATCGAAACAAATGATGATTTCTATTGTGATATTGTTTTTCGGAGAAATAAACAACCTGATGTTGTTTTCGAAGATATTCACGACGGTCACAAATATAAAAAATTTGTTGAATCATTACCGGTTGATCAAAAAGAGTCTTATGTAACAGTGACGTTCAATAGTGATGGAAGTCCAACTTTCAAAAATTCCAAATATTCTATTTGGCCTATACAAATAGTTGTGAATGAAATTCCACTAAATATTCGCTTGCAAAAAACAATTACTTGTGCACTATGGTTTGGTCGTGATAAACCAAACATGACGTATTTCATGCGACCTTTTGTGGAATATATCAATGAACTTTCAAAGAAAGGAATAAGATGTCAGGTACAAAATGAAAAAAGAAATTTGCATGTGTATGCACTCTGCTGTTGTGTAGATTCTGTAGCTCGCGCGCCTATGCAAGGCACCGTCCAGTTTAACGGATATTACGGTTGTAATTGGTGCTTACATCCAGATGTACGAGTTCGTCATGGTACTGGTCATTCTGTGAAATATCCTATTTTAGACGAACATCCTGGAAAACGAACAGCAGATGATACTTTTGAGTTAATGCAAAGAGCTGTAAAATCGAAAGGTCCCGTTTTTGGTATTAAAAGTGTATCTCCATTGTTGCTTCTGAACAAATTTGATATAATAGATGGATTTGTGCCTTGCCCAATGCATTGCGTTGATCTCGGTATAGGAAAACAATTTTGCAACTATTGGTTCACTTCAACCAATGAGTCATATTCAATTCCGAAGAACATACACAAGACCATTGACCAATACATAAAAAACGTGAAAGTACCGACACAATTGGAACGATTGTCACGGCCGTTAAGTGATAGAGCATATTGGAAAGCAAAAGAGTGGTCCAATTGGATACTATATTATAGCCTACCAATATTACAATATATATCACGAGAAACTCCTAAATTCGAAGAGTTCATGATTCATTGGTCTTTGTTAATAAAAGCATATCATACTTTATTAAAAACCAAAATAACTCAAAACGAATTACGAAGAGCTGATTTTCTTTTGAAAAAGTTTGTTTGTTATACAGAACATCTATACACAGATGATGCTATGACGTACAATGTTCACCAATTATTGCACTTAACACAGAGCGTTGCTGACTGGGGTCCATTATATGCACATAGTGGTTATGTGTTTGAATCAGGTAATAGAAAAATAAAACAAACTATCTATGCTGCCAAAGGTGTTTTGAGACAAGTATGTCGTTACTTGTCGTTAGAATTAAATATGATAACATTACAAAAACATGTTGAAGTGAAAAAAGATTCGCCGTTGCTAAAATATATTAGATATTTAGAACATGGTTTCACTGAGAAAACTGTCAAGTTTACTTACAGATATTTTGGAAGAACTGTTCCTAAAAAATATATTTCTAAGTTTCAACTTTGTCCAGAAAAAGTCAGAGCATATGAAAAAATAGTTAAAGATGAATGTGCGTATAAGTCATGTGAAAAAATATTATATCGATCAGATAACTCATTTGCAATGTTAAAAAATGGAAATTACATACAAATACAACAATTTCTTGTGAACATGGACGATGGAAAAGAATATACAACATACAAAAAGATTATGGTAATCGATAATTATTTAGCAAGTGATGAATTACATTGCATCAAACAAGTTATGGAAATCAACTCTGATATTGATATCACAGAAACAAAAAATATCGATAAAATTTGCGTTTATTTAAATATTGATCATTGTAATTATATATCATGTGTACCTAATATGTATTGGATATAAATACTGAATTCATTGACTTCGTAATTTTTAATTTTATGATAAATTTAGTGATCTGGCAATGGTCTGGATATATTTCTTTGAGAACTCAGATTTCAACCTGGAAATCCACCTGGAAATCCACCTAGAAATCCAACTGGAAATCCACCTGGAAATCTACCTGACAATCCGCCTGGAAATCCACCTCGATATCCGCCTGGAACTCCACCTGGAATCCACCTGGAAATCCAGCATAGATATCGATCTGGAAATCCAGCATGGATATCCACCTGGAATCCAGCTGGAAATCCAGCATGGATATCCACCTGGAATCCAGGTGGATCCAGCAGGATTTCCAGATGGAAATTCAGTTGGAAATCCAGCCTGGATTTCCAGCTGGATTTTTTCAACAGGGATATCAATTTAAATACATAAAAATGATTCATTATTTAAAGATAGATACTGAACATGTTTCAGTCATTGTTAACAATGATGTTTAGACATAGAGAACTAGACATATAAAATCATCGAGTTTTTAGTATTTTATCGATTCTTTTGGTCCTTAAGATGTTACACTTATAAATGGCATCCGTGCTTTATTTATATTGATTTCAGTACTTTCAAAAGTTTAAAGACGAATAAGAAAATTCTATTATTGAGTTAAGATCTAAACAGAGTAATATGTGAAAAATGGATAATTTTTAGTATAGGATACAAAAATCTGTCTGTACGTGTATGAGCAAGGAATATATAGCGCTCGTATCATTTTTATAAATTAAAATAACTGTGGACGAAGTAGCAAGGTTTTAGCGATAAAAATGACAAGGAAGTTAAAAAAGCATTCATGCAACCTTTTACTTTTGTAAAAAGTGTTTTTATGGAGATTCAAATTTTCGACACGGAAGAAAAAATTTTTTTTTTTATTTTTTTTCTCCATAAAAAAGCAAAAACCGGAAACCGGACTGGTATACGTTTGAACACGATGGTACAACGAATCTACAAAAAAAAATGGGCCAAAAAAAAAGAAGGCCGTCTTGAGATAAATCGGTATTTTTACAAGATGCAATTTTTATGCAAAAGTGCAGAATCTTCTGAAAAATGCATTTATGCACATTTTTGATCACGAACA